TACACCTTTTGTGTCTTCAACTAAACGTTTGAAGACGAAATATGCTACTATTAGTAACTTTCTGAATTATTGCCAATACCAGTTTAGAATTCTAGCACATCGCTTCTTAAACTGTGTTCTATGGAACACCATCACTCAAAGGTTCCGGGAAACTTACGTATTTTTTATAATATTCAAGAAAGTAAAAAAATACAAATGAGCACTTCTATGAAATCAAAATACTAATCTGGATATAAATATTTGAAATAATTGTTATTTTTGTTGCATATAAAACAATTATACAATGTTGCATTAAAACCATACTATTAAAACAAACTAGGGTTCCATTTAACAAAATATATTAAGGCATTCTTGTTATATTTTTATTTTATAATACCTACCTGAGCTACTTATTTTATTTTAATGTCCCTTTGGTCCTATTTTATTATTTATTTATATTTTTATATTTTAATTATTTTTGAATTATTGTTTCTGATTAATTGATTTGCTTTTTATGTTTATTTTTACGCCTATACTGTGTGTTTTCTGTTTCAGAGATGCTGTATCCTGGAATAGGTAGCAGCCTAATACATATTACAGTTTTTAAATATATATTTTTTAATATTGAATTTGTATGTTTTTATTTTATTTATTTTTATTGTGCTTCTGCATTTTTAAACATTAATTAAATCTAAAAAATTAGTAGTCGCTATAATATCGCAAAAACAGACTTGTCCCCCAGGAAAACGGCGCCTGTATTCACAAAGATAATATGTAGGACAAGGTAGTAAGATCCGACTCAAATTAACTAATGACTTATTAACAAAATTTATTTTTTTGTGTCACTCGAATAAAACACTATCAGTTGAGCGTGCGCTTTATAAATAGCGAGCACGCCTCAAATCCTACTCTATTTGAGTGTCTGAGTCATATGAATATTCTTCTTCCTGTTGCTCCTTATAGTTTTACCACTATACACAATAAAAATTCAAGCCATACTTGTATTTAATAATAATTCTTTGTGAATACCACAGTATGCGTATAAATAGGCGGAACCAGACTATGTATGTTTTTATCATCTTTATCACACTCTACGGGTAATTTTAATGCCTAGTTCATTATAAATTTTAGCAAGTTGATTATTTTAAAGTTTCCGTATTAAATTTTTAACCTGAATATCTCTATAAATAATTTTCTTTGTAAAAAGTCACTAAACCCCAATTTTATCTAGATGGCCTTAAAAAAGTCATAAAATTATTCATTGAAATAAAATTTGTGCAACACGTTGCAAATGCAATATCAAATATTTATACAGATTATACACATATAACAAGCCAAAATTCTACAAATTTTATTAAAGCACGCAAATATTTTAGCAGATGTATAAATTGTAGTGTATACAGGGCTGTCTTAGACCTGGGTTCCTGGGTACACAGAGTTCGAAATCCCTTTTAGAAAGCAGAAAAGTAATGTATTTTTGCTCCGTGAATTTATTGGTTACTATGGTTATCTAAAATTTCGTGTGCTGTCAGAGTGACAGTACGTCAATTTAAATAATCTAAAGTTTATTCTAAAGCTTATGATATGAACGACAGTTACCTTTATTTCTTGTAAATAAGTAAAATATTAGTTTTTCTATTGTGATAAACTGACAAATTATGACATTTGGATAAAATTTAACCAAGTGCTTATGCCACGCACGCAAACGTTCCCTCTCAATAATGTTAACGTAAGGTGTGTGTGCTTATAACACTATCACCTGGTTGCAAAAACGCTTGTTAAATCTTCCAATAGCTAATGATTCCATAACTGGTTTGGATTCTGAGTAATTTTAAATTCATATTATTCAGACAGATTGAAATGAACGTTATTGCAACCTTCTGTATTGGTAGCGATAATATAGTTAACCGCTAGATGGCATGCTTACACATCTGATAGAAAGAAACCATGTTGCATATTAAAATTGAAGATAAATGGATTAAAATATATGGGCACTGGATTTCGATATTTCAGGATCCCTCTTTCGTCAAGGGCCTTCACGTGTCCTTACGTGTCCTTGGGGTGAAAAAGGTACTAATTATATATGAAGGGTAGAGGGGAAAAAAGATAAATGTCACAAAAATGAGTTTCTGAGAAAGTAGGATTTTAAAATTTGAAGACTTCTACTTGTCTGAAAATATATTTGGCTCAAATATTTTTTTCTCAATACCTGGTAGTATAGATTACTTTGTTACCAATTATTGAGTGCACAGGTTTATTTTTGTAGCTGGAAAACATATTTGGAGTTATACGACATAGGTTCGAGTGGGGAAATGGAGTAATTTATGTGCTAGTAATTGCATTATTTATTGAAACGAAAGAGCATACAACTATAATTTTGGTTATATAAAAGTAGTACCAACGAAAATAGTAAACAAATTCTCATACAAAAAATATACAGGGCGTTTTAGATGTAGTAGTACAAAAAATCACCAAAAAATTCTTAAGATTAGTAAAAACTTAGGGCAAGCTCTTAATAAACAAATAATCCAAATAAGTACCTTTTTATTAAAACTAAGGCACATAAGGGTAAATTTCGGTAGAACATTAAAATATTAGGTAATATAATAAAAAAAACATACAGCGAACGTCAAAAAGTTAACTTGAGTATTGTAAATTATAACCTTTAACATAAATTAAGCGTCTTCATCTTCGGTATAAGGTACACGGAAAAAAAATTGTAGAAGAAATTTCTACAATTATAGATTTTTCTCTACAATAAATAGTACATATAGGGACAGGGACAATTTGTAGTAAAAATTTCCAAATATTTGTGGAGAATGTATTGTTATTATCTACAATATTTACTAAAAATATCCAAATGCATCATAAGAATTGTTCTACAAATTGTTATAATTTTTGCTATTCATTGTATGAATTTATATTAAAAATGTATTGCGTTTTATGAAAATAAATACCAAAATTTTACACAATAAATAGTCAAAATTCATACAAATTGTAGTAATTTTTAATAAAACTTGTAGTAGTATTCCATAATTATTATACTTAATTATAACCTAGAAAAAAATGTTCTTTAATAAAATATTCAATTTATTGTTTTAATATAAAAGATACAAAGTCTTAATTACATTATGTAATAAATAACAGTAATAATAGCACCCTCAGTCTCAGTTGGCTTTTCTGCACCTGAAAAATATGAAATAAAAATTAATAACAATTGAACTCTTCATACCCTTAAAACGGGAATATTTATCACCTTTACACTGATTTGGATATTAAATGACTAAGTCAGATAACTAACAAAAATGAGAAATTAGGTATGTCACAATTAAGACAAAAAAACATCATTGAATTTGGCACAAAATTCGATCGTTGGGCACAACATTCGATCGTTGGCCACAACTATTTTTTTAAAAATAATCTACTAAGGTTATTTAAATTAGTTATCTAAAGGTAAATTATTCAAAAACAATAATAAATGTACTTACCACCAATAGAATTTATTATTAAAATTTTCTCAAACGCATCGGTGCTTATAATATAATAATGTTGTTATAGGCACTCGTATATATACCATGCTTTGTTATGTGAACATGGCGAACGGCTACTGCTGTCTGGCCATTTATGATCGACGTCAGAAAACGTTGGCCAATAGCAGAATTCTGTTTTGTTCACATGACTTAGAATTTCTACAATATTATAGAATCTTTTTGAACAAAATTGAATATTTTTCATAAGAAGGGATGTAAATTATTACTATTTTTTGTAGAGAAAATTACTATTTTTTCTAGAGATAATTATTAATATTTGTACAAATTTTTTCAGAAGTTAGTAGTAGTAATTACGATAATTGTAATAAATTTCTACTTCTACAAACAATAGTAAAATATACTAAATATTGTGGAATTCTTTCCTGTTGTTGTAGCATTTTATTCGACAATTCAATTGCTACAATAATGAATAGTTTTTAACTATAAATTGTAGTAAAATTTTCTACAAATTGTTAAGTATTTTTCTACAAGTCTACTACTACAACATTGTAGTAAAATGTTCTAGTCACATTTTTTTCCGTGTAAGTTTTCAAAGTATTTACATGCATTGGGCTCACAAAATCTTTTAAGTTCTTGTAGGTCTTGAAACTTTTTCAAAGATACCTATAGGGAGTTTCTCGTTGTATTTTAAAGAAGGTCTTTCAAATTGGCCAGGAGGTAACAAATCAATATTTTTTGACTTTCACTACAGAAGTCGTGCAAGCTCCGTTATATGATTCACGATATTCTATCATTCTCGGCATACCAGTATGTACTGTAAGTTCCTTGATTGGTCTGCTTGGTCTGATTGGACACTTTTTATACTTAGAAGTAATTTGCAAAGTGATTCGTCCATGAACGAAAAATATTTTGATCTTCACAGTCAATTACACAAAAAGGACCAGGTTTACTTCTGGAACTCAGAATTTGCTCATTCCATCCATCCGGAAGTTCTACTGCTGCCTTTTGGTTTATTAGTTCCATGTTGCGGTCGCATTCTAGATAGCTGTGTCCCCGAACTGGAAACGTCATCTTGATTTTTCTTAAGCGTTTTGTCTTATGGACAACGAAATGCAGTAAACGAAATAAGGTATAATTCTTATTTTGGCCGCTACACGAACCGCAGAAAATTTCAAACCCTTGGACATGCTCATCCAAGAAATTGAAAATAAAATGAAATAGCATATATGCTACTTTATCTGAGCCCTTCTTTATAGCAGTTTTCGTGTAAGTATAAAAATATGAAGCAGAGTTCGACATCACATGGATATTAAAGGAATAAAAAGAAAGTTTGCGTTTATAATATACATCATTAGTGCTGATATTGGGTACTGGCAAATTTTTTTGAAAATCCTATTGCCTCTTTTTCTGTACTTTTTAAACGGGCTGCTCTCTTTCTTTTGTAAAACGTTTTAGCTTTTAGAAGATGCAGTTTATGTTCTGTTTCCAAACGAGATAAAAGCGCTTTTTGTAAAGGATCATTTTCGATGCTCATTTTTTTGGCTTTGTGCTCATCGCAGGCACTGCAGGTATCCGTTCGTGGATACCAAAACTTATGCTGAATTTAGTTACAAATATAGTTCTGTAAGTCTCATAGGAAACCTTTTTGTCAGGATTTTGTTGCAAACACATCTTTTTCACGTTAAGATCTTCCGGTAAATATACACATTGGGAGTCATGGAGACTGTAATGTGACTTTCGACCTTTAAACGAAGCAATATGGTCAAAAACAGTGGATATTTCATCTGGAAGACGATTTTTTCGATTGGAATGTTTACCTCGCCCATCGTGTTTAACATGTCCAAAAGTGGTTAACTGCTGCTGGATATTCTGACGCCGTTTCGCAGATATTCCATGCATAGAAAGCATAGCTTTATAACATATTGGTACTTCTATAGCTGTATTATCTCGTTGAACATGAATTTTTTTATGTGTACGAATATGAGTGATATTCAACATCTTCATCATTATTCTTTCTACTTTGGTGTCGTTTAACGGGGGCATGTGAAATTAAACCATCTAGATACAAATCATGATTTTTAAGTTCATTAAACTGTTTAATTGTTTGCAACTTCTCTCCTTCGGTGACATTTTCACAACACTTAAATGTAGTACAATTACAACTTGGGCCTGTTTCATGGCTTCGTAGTTTTAATAACTTAGCAACGTTCTTTATACGTCCATGAGATTTCCGTTTCTTAGACCTTAGAGGAAAAACTGCACTATCAACTTCAATGTCTTCGTCGATCATTGTGAAATATTTCGATTGCACGTGGCATGAGAAAAAACAAACAGCATACAGCAGGTGGTCGATTAAACGGCACATGAACTACTAAAATAGTATAATAGCGCGTAATAAAATGGGAAAAAGCATCGAGAGAAAAACAAAACAATGCGCGATTGCCATATTTATGGACGTTCATCTTTTTTCCCCTGTGCGGTAAAATTTAAATTCCCTGTGGCTTGCTACTCTCATCTATTTTGATTAGTTTCAATATTTTATCGGATTCTTACAGCATTTTAGCATAATATTCCCGCCATTAGCTTAAAATTGGAATTTTTGGACATTCATCTTTTTCCCCTGTATCCTTCATATGTAATTGTGCTATCATTTAAGTTTTTTAATTTTATAATCCTATTTAGGTACCAATAATTTAACATACTTAATCGTTGTGAATGAGTTTATAAACTGCCAGAGATTGAATATTTTCTCTTTCTGGATCCAGATAAGTGCAAACTATACCTACATACATCTTTATTAAAAAAAAAAATCAACCTATTGTATTCTGTATTATTTGTATTATCGCATAAATAAAGTAGTTTCAACTAACTAACTAACTAATTCAATAAGAGATCTGGTTATTGAGTTATGTTATGACAACGAGTTAACGATGGTATAATACGTATTGACAACTATACATCCCACGCGACCTTATAATCAGAAATTAATAAACTGTTGTTTACCTACTACCGGAAAGAGACAAAACATATTGCACAAATACCAATAATTTGTGCACAGCAAAAGAGAAAGAAGAAAATAAACAGGGCACTCTAGCGCCTTAATTTTTCTAATTTAATATTCAAACATATTATATTTACTAATAATTACCTACTTGTAAATCCCTAAAAATAGAAATGTCAACGTCAATTCAGAAAAAGTAGAGATGAGACAAGATGTGCTTTTTAAATCACACTTTGAATCGTTAATGTAAAATTTGAATAAATGAGGTTATGTTTCCTCAAATTATTAACAAAGTAAATATTCGTTAATATTTTGCTTTAACTCGATAGAAACACATAATATATAGAATGTTATTTTAACAGGGTTAAAATAATTAAAAAACATTCATTATAATAGATTTATTGTCTTACAGAAATAACAGAATTAAAAGCAAAAAAAAATACTTTTTAGGACTTTCCAGTTTTAAAAAGCTTCTGCTACACTTTTTAAAGCGTTTCATAAAACAATAGTAAAAACGAAAACCTCAATAAAACATTCATAAGTTCAATCAGATGGGCATAACCTAACCTAACCTCACTCTTGAGCTTCTTATTTACTCTAAGTACAAGTCATTCAAAATATAAAAATTAGTAATAATATATTAACCATTTTTCTCTTTTACTGATCATTTCCAGAATATTAGGAGCCTTGAAATGTTTTGATATTTGTTAAACATTAGAACACAATGAACTTATTAAACACTGAAGAGAAGGAGAAACATATACATTTTTTTTTCATTCTCTATGGAAATTACCACTTTTCTTTATTTTGAACAATTTATTTTTCAACGTAAACATAATGTGATTGAGTTGAAAAGTTAGGTTATGCTTTAAATAAACTTTAGTTCTTATTAAAACTATGTAGTTTTAAAAGAGTCCTATGGTTTACTAGATTAAACAAATTATAAGAGTTATGTTGTAAAATTGAAGAAAATGTACCTAAAAGATTCTAGGATCAATTTAATTTAAAGTATAATCCTATAACACTTTTTAAAACTAAGTTTTAAAACCTACTTAAGATAACTGCTAAAAATTATGCCTCTTTAACACCAAACACACCTTAGGAGTATCTTAAAACTAAATAGTTCTAAAATTACTTATTAATTAACCCTTACAGGATAAATCATAGTTTACTTTAGGATAAACTAGTTTTTTAAACAGATTTAAAGGAATCTATAAAACCAAGTAATAAGATCTATTTATCCTGCAGTCCTATTTGAAAAAAAAAATAACTGTAATTAAATAATTGTTAATTTTTATGCCTTTTACAAAATCCTAATAAAACATAAATAAAACTTAATTCTCTTAAAAATGTTACCTGGGCCAGTCTTAGGACTAAAACAACAATTAAAGTACCTACAAAAATAAACACGCTCTCCAGAATGATATTATTAGGACATCTATAAAATAACTTTACATTTTGATATGTTTAGCTATAATCTCAAGAGACAAAATTATAATAATCAAACTGTAAAGCGTTTCGATTAAGTTTCACAATAGTGAAAAATTTTAAATCGTCAGCAGATACAGGCATTCAAGACAATGATAATTTTATAAACAGGACACTACATCATTTACAAACAATAAAAATAAAATAGGGCCAATATGTGAACACTGGGGTATGCCCGAGGGCACTTTCACTTCCCGCGACACAGAACCACTGATTGTAACATACTGCCGACGATTAATATGGTAGAATTTAATCTTCTATATTTAAGGATTTACATTTAGGTAAATGTAAACGTTCTTTGTGAATTAGTTTATTTTATTTATTAAAATTCCAGAATTAGAGCATTAAATCAAAGAAGTAACAACCTTTTTAGCTTCTACAATTGCCAAGTAACCTGCAAACCCCTGCCACATTTGTATAAAACTAAGGTAGATTTTTCAAAGTATAGATACAGCAAAATATTTAATTAGGTAACTAATTAAATAATTAATTATTATTTAATGAGGTGGTTCAAAATTCGTGGCTGAGTGTTTGCTAAAGCCACTCTCATGTATTCCTCAACATTTCATCTCTTTCCTTAATTTAATATGAAATTTGAAAATTTAATTCCACTCTTCTGCAAACTCGTGGAAGTATCGCAGATATTCAATGTGCCCATCTCTTTCTTTATATTATCGTCCGGTTCACATTTATATTCATTTACCACATCATAGAGTTCCTCAAACATGGTGAGATTTACTTTCATACGCCAGTTTTAGAGCTTGGATACAAATACGTAAAAATTGTCTTGTCTTGAAGATTTAGATTCACCATATTTAGCTGGTCTAAGTTAAATTCAAACAAAATCTCAACGCTCACCACTACCGAAAACTCAAATTTTTCACACGGGTTTGATAATGTCAGGCGATAAGGAGCAAGACACAGAAGCCAGAACCAAAAAGTCAAGATCAGAAATACCCGCCAGAACATTGGCAATGTCCGGTAGGGCAATTTAACGTGAAATATGTATTACTGATACCTAACAAATAGATAGACTATGTACTGAATAAAAAGATTTTAAACTAAAAAAATAAACTAAGATGTCTGCTAAGAAAACAACTATTTTCTTCCGTGCTTCATAAATAAAGTGAGCCACAACTTGATTACTTCTTTCAGCTCAAAGACACGATTCACAATATGTCCTTTCAACAACCAGCGTACAGCAGTTTGGAAGAGAAAAAACTTATGATTAAACTTCGTGTTTTTACAAAGTTCATTAAACAGACAAGGATTGGGGGGCTTCAAATATAATGTGTGTGTGTGTGTGTGTGTTGGGTATTATTACAATATATTATATAACTATTTTGGTTTTATATATAAATTGTACTAATAGGTCATATATGTTCTTGTCAAAACTATTAAGAAGAGTGGTAATATTAAGTGGGGGGAATATATTAAAGTTTTTTAGCTCAGATATTAATTGTATTATAGCATTATTATTATTGGAACAGTGGAAGAATAGGTGGTTCAAGTCTGCAATACTTGAATTGTCGCAAGGACAGTAGGGATTCTCTAAAATTCCTATTTTGTTCAGATGATGAGGAAAACGTCCGTGATTTAGTTTAAGTCGCGTTATAATGGTAGAATATGTTCTAGAAGTAGAGAAATAGAGGTTTGGAATATCTTTTGGGAGGGTAGGATGTATTAAAAAGTAATGGTTTTTTGATCTGCTAACAAACTCATTATATAAAGCCGACCATTTGTCCCTAATGTCCTTCTTTAGTTTACACAAGATATCATTATTATTAGGAGATTTTGTGATATTTTCAATACTACATGCTTGTTTGGCAGCCTCATCTACTATTTCATTTCCTACAATACCTGAGTGGCCTTTAACCCAAATGAACTGTATTTTTATGTTTTTTATTTTGGCATCTTTAATTAGTTCTTTAATTCTAAATATGATTTCATTGTTATAATATTTCAATGGGCATCCTTGTAGAGCTTGTAGTACCGATTTAGAGTCAGATAATATTATAGCTTTCTGAATTGAATTGTTTTTAACCCATTCTAGTGCTTTTTGTACTGCTAAAGCTTCGGCCGTAAATATTGAAGATATGTCTGAAATACGATATTTTTCAATATGATTTGTGGTTGAAACAAAAATTCCGAAACCAGTTCCGATTTTACTTTTGGATCCATTCAAATATAATATAATTCATCATTTGTATCAGATAGTTAAGAACCTCTTGCAGACGAGCTGGAATAGTCTTATCAGCAAGCGCTAGTCTTCAGCAGACACACGCGACGTAAACATTGGTGGAAGGGATAATACCCCACCCTTAGCACATCTTCATACTTGTATATTATGAATATTGGAGAGGGAAGCATAGAAAAGGTGGGGATTTTTAAAGTGGATATAGTATTGCTCATATCCCAAATGAAAATCAGATTAAAATCGTAAGCTTTAAGAGCGTTTAGAAATTTCAAATAATAATAATCAAGTGTAGTATTGCATGTTTACGTCGCGCGTGTCTGCTTCACTCTAGCTATGATGATTGAGAGTCAAGGATGT